GCCACCTGCACATCCCTGCTTCTGTCTGAAGGTGAATCCTCATGACTGAGCTACCAGAGAATTGCAGAAATGTTCCTGCCATCACAAATTTTATTGCAATTTTAGCCACTTTTTCCACTGCAAATGAAAGATCTGAGAAATCTAAAAGCCTTCTGGAAACCCAACTGGATGGAGTAGCCACTGCAGGAAAACCCTGCACATCCTGACATGTGTACATCCCTGCTGCTGTCTGAAGGTGAATCCTCATGACTGAGATACCAAAGAACTGCAGAATGTTCCTGCCATCACAAATTTTATTGCAATTTTAACCACTTTTCCCACTGCAAATGAACGATCTGAGAAATCTAAAATCCTTCTGGAAACCCAACTGGGTGGAGCATCCACTGCAAGAAAACCCTGCACATCCTGACACCGGCACATCCCTGCTGCTGTCTGAAGGTGAATTCTCACAGCTGAGCTACCAAAGAATTGCAGAAATGTTTCTGCCATCACAAATTTCATTGCAATTTTAATCATTCCCCACTGCAAATGAAAGATCCGAGAAATCTAAAATCCAGCCTGGAAACCCTGTCCCAGCTGGGTGGAGCATCCAGTGCAAGAAAACCCTGCACTGCCACCTGCACATCTGAAAGTGAATCCTCACGGCTGAGCTTCCCGAGAACTGTAGAAATATTCCTGCCATCAAAAATTTCATTGCAATTTTAATCATTCCCCACTGCAAATGAAAGTTCTGAGAAATCTAAAATCCTTCTAGAAACCCAACTGGGTGGAGTGCCCACTGCAGGAAAACACTGCACATCCTGACATCCCTTCTGTCTAAAGGTGAACCCTCATAGCTGAGATACCAAAGAATTGCAGAAATGTATCTTCCATTGCAAATTTCATTGCAATTTTAATATTTTCCCACTGCCAATAAAAGATCTCAGAAATCTAAAATTCTTCTGGAAACCAGCTGGGTGGAGCAGGAAAAGCCTGCACTGCCACCTGCACAACCCTGCTTCTATCTGAAGGTGAATCCTCACGACTGAGCTACCAGAGAATTGCAGAAATGTTTCTGCCATCACAAATTTTATTGGAATTTTAACCACTTTTCCCACTGCAAATGAAAGATCTGAGAAATCTAAAATCCTTCTAGAAACCCAACTGGGTGGAGTGCCCACTGCAGGAAAACACTGCACATCCTGACATCCCTTCTGTCTAAAGGTGAACCCTCATAGCTGAGATACCAAAGAATTGCAGAAATGTATCTTCCATTGCAAATTTCATTGCAATTTTAATATTTTCCCACTGCCAATAAAAGATCTCAGAAATCTAAAATTCTTCTGGAAACCAGCTGGGTGGAGCAGGAAAAGCCTGCACTGCCACCTGCACAACCCTGCTTCTATCTGAAGGTGAATCCTCACGACTGAGCTACCAGAGAATTGCAGAAATGTTTCTGCCATCACAAATTTTATTGGAATTTTAACCACTTTTCCCACTGTAAATAAAAGATCTGAGAAATCTAAAATCCATTCTGCCCGCGATGGTTCTGATTTTCCTGTACCTGATGCATTTGGCACCACTCCTTGTGCTCCACATTAATGTGAGAGTTTAYCAGAGATAAAGTACAACCTGTATTCTTTCTGTCTTGAAATGGAATTTTTTTTCAAGGTTTTGGGAAGCAGCAGCTGTTCAGAGAGGTTTGCAGTTTTGGCTGCATGGACAGATGCTCTTGTGAATATGTTCATTAAAACAATTCATATTTTTATGACTAAAAMAACCATCAACTTGGCCAGTTTTTAGCATACACATATACAACAAACAAGAAAGCTTTATTCTTATTTTGGTCCCCATTTTAACCATCCACTCCTGCATCAGGGGTTAAATTGATGTGGTTTTCCATATCATTGTCCCTCATGTTACTTCCTGACCCATCAAACTGTACATCTGCCAGTCCTTCACCCCTTTAACCTCCTCCAGGCACAAAGTTTGCAAAATCCTCTCACAAAGAACCAAATGTTTTCCCCAAAAAGGCTCAGTGAGCACCACACACAAGTACAATCACACACTGAGTGCCTTAAATCTGTCGAGGGACAGCCAGAACCATATTCTGAGTCAGGCTTGCACACAAACCCCATWAAAATCCTATTAACTCAGTGAAGCATTCTTTTGTGCGAGTTATAACTCAGGGAAGAGCCCATATTTGTGCTATAACAGCACCTGCATGTCCCAGATGAGAGCAGGGGGATTTATTTCAAGGCAATTTGAGCATGAACACATYGAGACCTTTTTGGTGATGAAGCAAAACATTTCTGAGGCTGAAACAGAGCTSCAGACTGTTCCAGCTGCCACTGCTGCAGCAAAAAGGGATTGGAGGGAGCTCCACACACAAACCCAGGACTAACGGTGGCACTTTGAGCCTGACAGCATTGGGCCTGCTGCAAAGATGGAATATAAAAATGAAACAGAGCCCTTGGAAGGCGAGAGGAGCAGAAAGGCAGATGGAKAGCTGCTCACACAGCTCTGACCAGCCACAGAATGCAAACTGCACCAAGACTGAGGATTCCACAACTTCCAGCTAAAGGGAGCCTTGAGGAGAACTGAATTTGTTTAATCCATGGTAAATATAGCTGGCTGTGGGGTTCTAACACCTCTGTCCTAACACAGCACCTTCCCTGAAATACTCTTGAACCAGGTCTGCAGCTGAAGAGGGGAACAAATTCTGCTGGCACACAGGATTGTGCTTCGGCACTGGGGGTGAATCCAGGGAAATGGGTAAACATGGAAACTGGAAGCACAAATCTCCAGGTTCCAGCTGTTCCAGCTCTGAACACAACCTTGCATTTCCTTCTAGAACCAACTGATAAGAGGTTTATGAAGGGGGGATTATCCAAATATTTGTGCCTTTGAACCTTAGAGTCTATATTTCCATAAAATGGAGAATGCCTGTTTGTCCATCCTCTGACCATTAAAAGTTGTGCTGCAGCTGAACCAAAGCCTTTTTACTATTTTTTAAATAAAACTGTTTGATTGTACAGCTGAACCAAAGCCTTTTTTTCTTTTTTTTTGAGTCAAAATAGTTGTGCCAGATTCTGGGTTCAAGTCTCAAGAGCTAAGCTTCCTCTGTCTCTTGAAAAGCAACTGGAGATTCCACCCATGACTCTGAAAGTTTTCTTCAAGTATTGAATTCCTATTTGGACCAAAATATTTCCATTTTGGTGGAATAGCATTTTCTCAACAAAAAATAATCCTCCAAACCAATGAATGTCACAATTCAATTACCTGTGCTSATGTTCACTGTTACGGCACATTTGACTTCAACTGCTTTTCTGAAGAATGTGTCTAAAATACAACTGAAGAACAACTGAAATCTTACTGAAGCTGAGGAGGAAGCTGGAAATGTCCCTAAAACATCTCCTGAGTGTTCCCAAAAGGTGTTCCAGCCCCATGTGACTGGGACAGACAGACAGACACACCTCACATGCCTGCGGGGTTTTGTGCTCCCAGGCTGCTCCCACCAGCGCTGTGGACTCTGCAAATTGTCATGGCAAGGACATATTTCCTCACAATTGGACACAGTATAGTAAACAGGCACAGAAAGCTCCTTGGAGGTAGCAATCGGGTCCCCTAAGCTGGCAATCATGTCCCCTAACTTGGCCATAATGTCCCTTAACCTGGCCATAGTGTCCCTTAAACTGGCATGCCCTCCCTCAACGCCAAACAGGAGCTGGTGGCACGTGGAAAATCCATGGGCAGGGCAAAATCCTGTTCTAGCAGCCTCTGGAAAAGCCCTGGGAAGGGAAGGAAGCAGCTCCTGAGCAGCAGGACTGAGCCCTGTCCATGCCAGGGCAGCTCTCCTGGGAAGAAAGGCTGAGGAAATTGGGATTATTCAGCCTGGGGAAGAGAAGATTTGGGGTGACCTCACTGTGGCCTTGAAGGGGCTGCAGGAAAGATGGAGAGACTTTTTACAAGGGGTGGAGTGACAGGACAAGGGGGAATGGATTCCCACTGACTGGGAGCAGGTTTAGATGGGATATTGGGAAGGAATTCACCCTGTGAGGGTGGGCAGGCCCTGGCACAGGGTGCCCAGAGCTGTGGCTGCCCCTGGATCCCTGGCAGTGCCCAAGGGACATTGGGGCTGGGAGCAGCCTGGGACAGTGGGAGATGTCCCTGCAAGGATCCCCTCTATTGTTTTTTGCTACAAAAGACACGTTTAAAGTAAGCAGAGATTAAAAAAAAAAATTATGCTGACACATCTCAGTAAGCAGATTAAAACAATTCCTTTCAACAAATATTTCCAAATTCCTTTCTATTTCCTTCTCAGAATCCATTTAATAATGTCATAGCCTCAGGGGTAACACTGGATAATGTCTTTTACAGTGCCAAAGCAGATAAGAAAAATGCTGTCTGCAACCTGWCAGGTTCTAGAGAGATTGTGTCATTTTCTCTCTTCAATATCACACAAATGATATACAGCAACTGTTTTAATGTGCTCATCTGTCACTGGGAAAAAAACCAAACCAACGATTTAATCCATTATTTCCATGGTCAGCTCTACTCTGGAAACCACAAAACAGGTGGGGTTCCTGCTTTGAGCACTTCATTCCTCCTCAGCTGCAGATTCTGCTATCAAGACAGCAATCATCTGAATGAACAATTCCTCTATTAATTCTGCCTGAGATTTAGATTTGGAATGAGCAAAGAACCATAAAATGACTAAATCCCAGTTCAATTCCTTCCCATCAAACTGGTGGCAATGCTCTTGTCCCTCAGTGACAGAAGCACCAACTGCAGCTGGCTCTGAAAATTTTAATTTACCAATCAAGGTACTTTTGAATTTAAAAAAAAAAAATAATATGTTCCAGCACACAGGATTGCTTTAAATCCCCATCCCCACACCCACAGCTCCAACAAGGAACAACAATCCAGCAGTCACCTGTATTTTCAGACTTCAAAATCAAGAAACTCTTGCAGTTTTTCCCGGTCAGAGAGGCAAATAAACACGCAGCCCATGGTCCTACCTGTGGGTCAGAGAGCCGGGAAATGTCGGGATAAAGGTAGAATTTAATCCCCTCAGAAGCACCAGGTAATGTCACCCCCCGAATCAGGAGGATCATCAGCATGATGTAGGGGAACGTGGCTGTCACATACACCACCTGCAGGAAGAAATAAATGTTAGAAAAATACTTCCTTCCAAATGCAGCAAAACCACCTTATTTTCACATCCATAGGAGGAAAAGTGCTTTGGATGCATTTGTTCATGCAGGTGACTTTTGTCCTCCAACTCTTCTAAACCCTTCAGGTTTTGTGGGAGAGATCAGCACTTTCTAATTGGTTTTATTTTATTAGAGATTGGGAAGTTCTCTTTAAATGCATTAATTCTGAACACAGGTACAGAGAATGACTCATGAGAACAAATAATTAATTCTCTCTATTATAACAATAAATGCAATGGATTCTCAGTCACCCCATAATTACTAAACTGATTTCTCCTAAGACTGCTTTGGCTGCGTGTCTGGGTTTCAGGAATAAACATTTCATCAAGTCCAAAGTTTAAATTCTATCTATATCTCCTTAGGATTTGATAGAGGACCCTTGTACAAAGCACCTTCAGGCAAAATTTCTGAGGTGCTGAACCCCAGCAATTGCTGTTTCCACATACATGGCCACACTTTTTTTTTCTTCCAGAAATCAGTTTGTTCCCTGCTTGGGGAGGAACAGAAAATCTGCAAGAAGTCAAGTTTTCCGAAGGAAAAATGGAGCAGAATTGGTGCTGTTTTACAGTCCCAAACCTGAGAGCAGCACATGGTGACWCAAACTCAGAGAAGGATGRAGTGATCAGTTCCATGGCACTGTCMRTATTTTGTTTACACAATRACCACCTGAAACTTMACCCYCTATAATTCCCTGGGATCATTTCCACCTGTGCAGGGTAGGTTTAACCATCCTAACAGGAGGTGTTCCTCTTACACCTGCCTTGCATCAGTCCCAATTAATKAGGCTGCAAGAATGGTGAAAAAACACAACTTGTATAGTCCTCAAAAAAAAATGTGTTTTAAACTCGGAAGTCCAATATCTGTCTCCTATCTAAATGAAAGGGATACATCAAAGAATGGAGCTGTGAAAGGATTTTTTCCAACGTGTTTTTGTAATTAATGAACTGAAATTTGATTTTCAGACTAAGTATTAATCCTAAACATGAAATTATCTCAGCTGCCTCATCAGGTACACTGAAAAAGGGAAGAACTTGAATTTCCCAGGAAATGGAGACCCTCATTCTATTCCTATAGGTCCCAAATTCCTGAATTGATGAATTCATTGATCAATATAATGCAAAATGGGAAGTTTTACCCCAGTGCTGACATTTATTGACYATTAGTGGCAATGCAAGCTGCTGTGACAGGCTGAGTTCAAACAGACCTGGTCTCTCCACCTTTAGGCTCCAGATAAAAAAGGATCAGCAGCTGAGGACTAAAAACCAAACACATGGGGTGGGCATGGTCCTGCTCTGAGCCTTAATTCAAGTGGAGAGGATGGAGCAGCCAGCTAACAGTTTTCATTTCTTCACTTCTTTGCCAGCTGTTTTTTCCTCCTGTTTCAAATCAAGAGTTGCATTTAAAGGAGGGTGAACAGCAGATACATCCCTCTGATGGCACTGAAGGCCCTGTCCCTGCACATCTGTGCTATTTCCTGACATTTCCTTCATTCCCTGCCCCGGGATGCAGCACATGCACAGCTTCCTGCACATCCCCCACTGCCTTGGGGAGTTTGACCTGAGCAAACATCCCAGTCTGGCAGAGGGAGATCAGATCCCTTCCCATGCTGGTCTGGGGGATTTCCTCTCTCAGCTCCACCAAGGATGAGCCAAAACTGTTCATTCTGTCCCCAAGAGAGGCCAGGTGAGGGGGCCTATGTGATCACACAGCAGCAAGTGCTGCAACCACAACTCTGAGAGATATTTTGGCCATTCTGCCTCAGTTTTAGAGCAGTGAAGACTATTCCCCCAAAGAGGATATAAATAGAGCCCCATTGGCTCAGTGTTCCTGCAATAAACACCAGTGCAGACAGCCAGAACCACGATCAGAGGGGGAGAAGGGTGTGATAGAGGGGAAGATCCCCTGGCTGAGCCCAGTGCTGATAACTGATCTGTGCTGTGCTCACACAGCTCCTGAGCCCCACCCCACTGCCCCAGCCCCACTGCATCCACCCCTGGGGTATTGCAGGAGTGACCTAAGCCCCCAACCCCACTGCTCCAACCCCACTGCATCCCTCCCTGGGGCAGAGCAGGGGTGAGCTGACCCCATCCCACTGCTCTAACCCCACTGCATCTCTCCCTGGAGCATTGCAGGAGTGACCTGAGCCCCATCCCACTGCCCCAACCCCACTGCATCCCTCCCTGGGGTATTGCAGGAGTGACCTGAGCTCCATCCCATCACTCCCTGTGGCACAGCTGTGTGACAGCAGTTCCTTCCTCGGGAAAAGGAACGTGTCAGGTTCTCCAACCCACCCCTCCCCAGGCCCCATCCTCTCAGGAATTATCTCAGCAAGGCAAATAGGACACAAAATAAAACCAGAGATGAGTCTGGTTCTGCTTATCCTTTCAGTTCAGGGGACTGACTCTGGTGGGTGCAGTGCTGTGCCCAGGAAATGCCGTGGGATGGGAGCAACAGGTGAGAACACGGTGCTGGAAAACAGCAGCTCCATCCTCTGCCCTGCCAAGGAGCTCCTGAGAGGAGGCACGATGAGGAATTTAGGAATCAAACAGCAGCTCCATCCTCTGCCCTGCCCAGGAGCTCCTGAGGTGAGCCACCGTGGGGAATTTAGGAATCGGTGCCATTATTAGCATCATCATCACATCTGTGGGGCATTAAAAGTTTCCTGAATTGTTTTCTTTTCTTCCAGCACATCGAACCTCTCTGAATATCAATGTGAACACAACTGTTTCTAATTACACTGCATCCTGTTTTAATTGACTTTAATTGCTTGGTATGTTCATTTGCATCCCAATGCTCAAAATGCTTTTTTTAAACCCTTGTCAGAGCGATGCCAATGTTTAAGCAGTTGGAAACAAAATAAAAATTTCTGGCAGGCAAGTTTTCGCACCAAGTTCTCCCCTTCCAGTGTGGTTGAAAGGAAAATTTACAAAGATATTTAGACACACAAGTGGAAATGCACCCAATAACTCTGAACTGTACTTGGGTGCTTAACTCAAAGTGCTTTGGAACCAAAAATCCTGAGAATGGATATTTTATTGACTGCCACAAGCTTTGGGTGTCGAAGAATAGGAAATAGGGTACCMAGTACTGGCAATTTAAATATCAAAACCTTAAAGAGACTCAGCTGTCACTCAAGGTTAATAAATCGATATCCAGGTATCTACGCAAAGATTTCATGGGTGAGGCACCATAAAGATCCTGAGACCTGAAAGCTCCAGTTTTATCTTTTCACACCTAAGTGCCTCAAAAGCACAAATACGTGACAGTGTACCAATTTGACTTCTCAGACTGCTGACCTCCTTGTCCTCAGGGTAAAGTGTTTTTCTGAGCACTGCAGCCAGACCATGTTGCAGAGTGAGGGGGATCTGRCTTGTGAGAAGTTGAAGAAATTCAGGATAACCCTGTTGAGAATGAGCAGAAAGCTTTGCTTTCGATGAACGGAGCCCCAACCCCTGGAAATCTCAAAGCCCCAGAGCAGATTCCTCTGGATAAAGCTCCTACAGAACCCCTGAGCTTCACACACTTCCTCAGTGACCTTTGCTATGAACACAGAACMAGAATTCCTCAACAAAATGTGACTTTGATGGAATTCTCCCCTGCAAGCTGCAATGCTCAAGCTCATTTGCACTATAATGAACCAACTGCATTTTATAAATGGCATCACATTTCTCTGGATGCCTCAGAAAGTTACTGCCTTTCTGATCCCGGTCCCCTGAAATCCTCTATTGCTCCATTGGGCTGTAAACACAGGGAGTATCAATGCAGGAATTGCCAGAGATTTGCCAGAATCCAGGATTAAAGAAGTTACAGAAAATCAGACCTGCAYCCTGCTCATCCTTATTTTTCACTGAGTGTTTTCAGCCTGGGGTCATTTACCTGATTGATTTATTTGTTTGTTTATTTATTTATTTATTTGAAATCAGGACCATGGAGAACTAGAGCGGAACACCCAACTGTGCCCACACTGCACTACACTCCTGTGTGGAGAAACTGCTCAGAAACCAAAACTTCACTGAGTAAAGTGAGAAGCAAAAGACAAATTTTTATCCTGCTTTACAGAGTTGATGCAAATTGGCTCAACTATAGAAATATAATTATTGTACCTCTGTCTGGCAGCTCTGGTGTCTGAGTAAACACACCCAGGAGCCACCAGTTTGGGCAGGATTGGCATAAAAAAAATTTTAATTATCCTACAAATCACAGTAAGCCCAGACTCAGCCTCACTAATATTTTCCAGTTTCACAAATTCTGACTTCCTAGATTGTACCAGCAAATATGAACACTAAAAAAGATATTTCTTTTTCAACTGCCACAGAATAGTGGGAAATACTGCATGCAGCATTGTTTGGAAAAAAGGCTTTTGCTCATCTGACTCTGCACCTTCTACAGAGTTACAAGTGACAACTGAAAAGAGACATTTTCCACATTAATTGGATTTATAAGGAAAATGGTATAAAACATTATAGAGGAATGGCAGCTGATTCACAGGGTTTTTAAAAGTGTGTCAAAAGGAGGGGAAACATTCTAGGTCTGCTTACATTTTAAAGCTAAAATTTCATATGCAGAGAAAGAAATTATAGCAAAAACCCAACAGGACAGCGGGTAGGTGGATTTGTATAATTGGGATGGGGGAAGAGGGACAGAATAAGCAAAATGGGTGATTTTTCTGTTTTCTCTGAGTGCTTTATAGATTTATTCAGCATCACCTTCTGTTTGTCATCTTTGTTTATCCACAGAGGGAATCTTGCTCCAAAATCAATCTAGCAAAGCATCTTTACCCAGATTGTCTATGAACTGCAGAATTCCTTCTAAATTACTCCTGAATCATGTGTGAGTGCAGACAGCTCCACTCCRAGCAGAAACAAATCCAAAACCCAACAGCTAAGAGAATTTAATGAGAGTYGAGGACTGAGAAATGAGTATCAAAGAGGAGAAATTCA